CTTGGAGACAGGTCTGCAAAAACAATGAGTTACTTGATTTTAGGTATCCACAATAGTTTAGGTTCTTTCTAGCCCTAATATTTTTTATGTCAACATTCAGCGTGATCATGAGTAAGACTTGAAGCATTCTTGATCTTATTTTCTTTGGCAATGCGTTTTCTGCACTTGCTTATATGATGCCCAAGTTTATGACAGTAGTAACACTCAATTATCTTCCTATTACTGAACTTGTTAGATAGACTTAAATTTTTGTTTCTTTCTAGGTATCTTACTCTGTCCTTTGAAACAGCAAGTTTAGTCCTAAGAGTTTCATTTTCGTTTAAGGCATTTTTAAGGTGTTTTCCAAATTATGATTCTCTGTTTTGAGTGATTCATAGTTTGATAATAGGGTTTCAAATTCAGCTTTAGTTCTGATGTATTTTTGCTTTACATTAGCAAACTCTTGTTGAATATCTCGTATAGTTTCTAACATTTGATCATCTTCACTGAAAGAATCAGAATAATAGGATTTTACCTGGTTGATGTTTTCATCCTCTGATTCTGCATCAATGGCCATATACGCTTCCTGTCTGCACACTTCTTCTTCTTCTTCTTCACTGCAACTCCAAGTTGCAGTATAGGCTTTCTTTGTAAGTGGACAATCTGCCTTCATATGCTCGGTTTCCCCACATTTATAACAGTTGGGTTGTAGCTGGGACTTCTCTATGCTGCCTTCTCTTCTGTTTTTATATCCAAACCGATTCCTTTCCTTTTGATCTCTATTCTCTTCTTCCTTACTTGGTGAATTCCCTTTTCTTCTGTCACGTCGCATCTTTAGCAGTCTAGCAACATGTTTGCTCAGCAGTGCTAATTCCTCATCTTCCATGTCTTCTAATCCTTCCAAATCTTCTTCATATGATGAGGCTTTGAATGAAATATTTCGTCTATCCTTCTTAGGCTCATCAACTTCTTCTCTTCTTAATTTCTCTTCATGAGTTATCAAGGATCCTATCAGCTCATCTAAGCTGAGTCGGGTGAGATCCTTGGATTCCTCGATGGCAGTAACCTTGGGAGTCCAACGTTTAGGCATAGCCCAGAGAACTTTGCGAACAAGATCAGCACTTGGATATTCAACTTCCAAATTCCTCAGACTATTGACGATTGTTGTGATGCGATCATTCATTTCTTTGATTGATTCCTCTGGCTTCATGATGAAGGACTCAAATTCTTGCTTAAGACTGTTGATTCTGGAAATCTTGACGTGAGAAGTACCTTTATGGGCAATTTGAAGCTTGTCCCAAATCTCTTTCGCTGTTTTGCAACCTGTGACCCTGTGGTATTCTTCAGGCCCTAATGCACAGTACATTAGGTTTGTTGCCTTTGAATTGAGCTGAAAATTCTTCTTGTCTTCATCTGTCCACTTTCCTCGAGCTTCCTTGACTTCCAATGGCCCATCCATCACAATGCTCCATAGGTATGGGTCAGTGGATCCAATGAATAGCTCCATTCTGTTCCTCCAGTAGCCATAGTGTACACCCTCAAAACGTGGTGGCCGGGTTTGCGAAAAACCATCAGCCATGTAGATTCCAGTTCCGCTCGCTAAACTCGAACTCATCTTCTCTGTGGGATGTTAAACCTCTTGACTCCGGAACCAGGCTCTGATACCCCGTGTTAGCGGAGGTCGAGCGCGAAACCGAGGGAGATTTGCTTGTACTTTCTTTCTGAAAAATCAAAACCCTAAAACAGAACTTGTGATAGAATGGTGAAACTGGTTTGCGAATGAATGAAAGACGAAGCAGAGAGTATTCAATCTATAATTAGAAAAGAAAATGAATGATGGGCCTGTTTGTTCGGTTTTCAAGTTTCGGCCAAGTAAAGAGATTTTGAAAGGCCTGTACTTAAAGCCCTTAACCCAGACAAACAGAGACGAAGGATAATGCTTCTTCTTCTCCAACTCTTCGACTCAGGGACACCTTCCCTATTCCAAGCAGAACTCAAGAACACACAGATAGATTGTTAGCCAAAATGAAAAGCGAAAACAAGTAAATGACACAGAGAATTTTTACGTGGTATCCAGTACAGGGAGAATAAGGATCCTTGTACTGACTAATCCACGGTTGAAGAATCTCTTCTTGAGATCTTCAACGTATGACTAATGACTTGGTTCTGCAAGTTCCCTGTTACAAATCTGAACAGAAACTCTCAGCCTCCTGCTGGTAAATCACCCTAACCAGGTTGAACTTCTCACTCAAGAACGCAAGACAGTAACCTAGTTAGCTAAGCAATCACTCCAATCTGCTCTCTTTTTCACAACAAGATCTCTAGCTAATTCACAGCTCTTCTCTTCTTGTTTGATTGAAAAAGGTGAGGTTGCTGGTCCATGATCCATCCCTTTATACTTCTGTTTTCTTCAACGTCTCTTTTAGGAACTTTCTATCTTTGACTTGGGAGTACAAATGGTAGTGTATCACGTCTTGATTTCTTTCTAAATCAACCATTTGTACCGTTTGAGTTGCTTGATCAAGGCCATTAACCGAGCTTCCTTCAACAACTAGTGGTCAGATATAGTTTGATCAGGGTGCTATTAGAGATAGTGGCGCATTATGACTTGGAGCTCGAGCAGTTAGACGTGAAGACAGTTTTCCTACATGGAGAGTTGGAGGAGGAAATTTACATGACTCAGCCATAGGGATTTCATGTTCCAGGAAAAGAAGACTATGTTTGTAAGTTGAAAAAGTCCTTGTATGGACTTAAGCAATCTCCGAGGCAGTGGTACAAAAGGTTTGACAGCTACATGTTTGAGCTTGACTACAACAAAAGTCTCTATGATTATTGTGTACATCACAGCAATGCAACAGATGGTTCGATGATATATCTGGTTCTGTATGTGGATGATATGCTCATAGCTACGACATCAAAGTATGATATCCAGAAGTTAAAGGGGCTTCTTAGTGCCGAGTTAGAGATGAAGGATTTGGGAGCTGCTCAGAAGATTTTGGGTATGGAGATTTACAGAGATAGAGAGAAGAAAAAGCTTTTCTTGTCACAAAAGAGCTAATCCAGAAGATATTGTCCAGTTTTCCATGTCTTCAGCAAAACCCTTGAATACTCCTAGTGCTTCTAATGTTCATCTATCCTCAGTTTATGCACTGCGGTCAGAGACTGAGAAGGATTACATGTTGCGAGTACTATATGTTAGTGCACTTGGTAGTTTGATGTACGCTATGGTATGCACTAGACCTGATCTTGCATGTGCTGTTATTGTTGTTAGCAGGTTAATGATACAGCCAGGGAAGGAGCATTGGCAGACTGTGAAGATGATCTTCTTGTACCTTAAGGGTACGTTTGACATGGGGATTAGCTTCGGAAGTGATACAGAGTGCTTAGTGGTTGGTTATTCAGATTCTGACTATGTTGGAGATGTTGACACAAGATGATCGGTTATGTATTCACTCTTGGGAGTTCTGTAGTGAGCTAGAAGACAACTCTCCAGTCGACAGTGACATTGTCTACTACTGAAGCATAGTACATGGCGTTGACAGAAGCTGCTATGGAGGAAATATGGTTGAAGGGGATTAAGGTGGAGAATGTTGGCACTGCGGATAATCCTGCTGACATGTTCATGAAGCCGGTTCCACATGGCAAGTTCCAACACTACTTGGACTTGCTGACTGTCTTGAGTGGGTGAATCCGCCTTAAAGGGCATTAATGGCAGAAGGGAGAGAAGGATTAGAGTACATCAGAGATTTCAGAGTAAGAGGATTCAAGTCAAGGTGGAGATTTGTTGATGCTTGAATCGGACTATCAGCCGCTACGACTAGAAGTCACGAGGGTCTCGCATTGTATGAGCTCAATGTTATTTGGGTTCGGGTTCTGGGCCTGGTCTATAACTGCTTTTCCTTTACCAGATTGAATTATGGTTAGACCATGGAGAAGTATTATAAATAGGGATGGCAATGGGTCGGGTTGGGTCGGGTTTTGTCAAACCCAAACCCATGGGTTTATCCATGAAAAAAACTCGGGGTAAAACCCACTGGGTTTGAAAAACTCAAACCCAACCCAACCCGCTGGGTATCCGCGGGTTTATGGGTACCCACGGGTTTTTGTCGTAAAAAATTTACAATAACAAGTTCCTATCAAAACTAAAGTCAAATATCAATATCTCAATATAAATTATGCATATATAAAACACCATTCTAGAAAATTCAAGCAAATCACAAATTAACTATACAAATTGTTCAACACCAATCTAGAAAACTCAGATAATTGAAACAAATCATAAATTATCCATAAATAACATGATTAATTGAAAGCTTCTTCCTTTCAATTAAGTTTCTTCACTCTCTACACAATTAGAAAGAAAAATTAGACATGTCTCCACAAACATAAATAAGATTAGTTGTTTAAAAATTAAATATATCGAGAAAATTAATTATATGGGTGGGGGCGGGTACCCATGGGTCGGGTTTATCTAAAACCGAAACCCAACCCGGTGAATAGTGAACGGATTTAAACCCAAACCCGGCCCAAAACCCGTCAACACGGATTTTACCCGCGTTGACCGGGTTGGGTCGGGTGGGTACCCATGGGTTTGGGTTTTGTTGTAATCCATAATTATAAATACTTCTCATATTCTGTAATCTGTATCTGCTCAAAGTATAGTGAAACTGGCTCTCTCCTGCCTGTGGACTTACTAACACATATTGTGTTAGTAAACCACGTAAATCGTGTTTTGTGTGTACGTTTTCGTGTTTCTTGCATTGTCGAATCCTCCAATTTCGCGATCAGTCGTGACACAAGTTTCTTTTAATTTCTCAGTTTTTGTTGGAAATGTAGGAGTCATGGGCTGCTGAAAGATGTTTCCTTTAGCTTGTTCTGTAGGAAATCATGAGAGGCCCTGTAACAGTTCAATAATGAACAAGAAATCTGTAAAAAAAATTGTGCTGTAATCTTCCATTTTTGTGTTGCTGGTTCAATGAATTAGATTGTAGTCCACGTCCTGAAGGTGTTTGATGAAATGCCCCATGTTTGGTAAGACTAAATGCTGTGCCGAAAGGGAAGGATGGAAGCTTCTTGTCCTGATTAATAATAGCAGAAGTTCTATTTCCTCAGGGTGGATGCTGTATTTAGAGGAAGGTTGGATCTATAGAACGTATTTTCTGCCGTCGGTTGTATGCTACTTCGGCCGACCTGATTTAAATAACAGAGAAAAGGTAGGATCATAAGCGCGAGAAGAAACCTATGGCAAAGAGAAATGAAATCCATGCAATACGGCCGAGTAAATTCCCTTGAATGTATCATTACAGCAACTAGGCGCTGATGAAACCATAAACGCGAGTTTTCGGTTGGCTGGCAAACGTGATTTTCCAGGTGGAGGAGCCTATATAGTGGGATCTCTGCCGAAAGCAGCAACCATTATAAGACTACGGCGAGAACAGAGGTTACATTTAGTTGTGGCGGCCGCTCTGAAACTCAGCGAGAGGGAAAATGTGGGTTTTCGGGTGGACAGGTGAATCTGGATTCTCAGCTCGTTCCACCGCCGAGCAAGTTACGGCGGGGATCGATGGCACCGGCCTCACTGCCATCGTTACAGGTCTGTTTTTTTCTTCTTTCATCTGGGTTAGCCTTAATTTTATGAAAACTTTCAGAAATTGGGAAGAAGATTGAATCTTTGAAACTGAATCACCAACTTGAACGGGTATTGATTAAAATGCAGGGGCATCGTGTGGCCTTGGGTTGGAGACTACCCGAGTTCTTGCCCTGCGAGGTGTTCAAGTCGTGATGGCTGTGAGGAATGTCGACGCTGGTTATGAAGCTAGACGTTCGATCATGGATGGCATCCCAACTGCCAAGCTCGAGGTTATGAGATTGGATCTCAGCTCGTTGGCATCGGTTCGAAACTTTGCGTCAGAGTTCGTCTCCACCGGCCTTCCACTGAACATTCTCATGTAAGATGGCAATGGGTCGGGTTGGGTTGGGTTTTGCCAAACCCAAACTCAAACCCATGGGTTTATCTTTGAAAAAAACCCGGGGTAAAACCCACCGGGTTTGAAAAACTCAAACCCAACCCAACCCGTTGGGTATCCGCGGGTTCATGGGTACCCACGGGTTTTGTCGTAAAAAATTTACAATTACAAGTTCTTATCAAAATTAAAGTCAAATATCAATCTCTCAATATAAATTATCCATATATAAAACACCATTCTAGAAAATTCAAGCAAATCACAAATTAACTATACAAATTGTTCAACATCAATCTAAAAAACTCATGAAAATTGAAGCAAATCACAAATTATCCATAAATAACATGTTTAATCGAAAGCTTCTTTCTTTCAATTAACTTTCTTTAGTCTCCACTCCATAACATCAACTTCATTCTACACAATTAAAAAGAAAAAATTAGACATGTCTCCACAAACATAAATAAGAATAGTTGTTTAGAATACTAAATATACCAAAAAAATTAATTATATAAGTGGGCGGGTACCCACGGGCCGGGTTTACCTAAACCCAAACCCAACCCAACCCGGTGAATAGTGAACGGGTTTAAACCCAAACCCGGCCCGAAACTCGTCAACACGGATTTTACCCGCGTTGACCGGGTTGGGTCGGGTGGGTACCCGTGGGTTCGGGTTTTGTTGTCATCCCTACATGTAAGTGGAACCACTAGTCTGTAGACAGTTCAGAAGCTCGATCATTATTGGTCACTAGGACTGGGAGTTCATTCTTTTTCGTCCTTTTTATTTTGGGTTTCTTGTGGTTGAAGTAACAATGCAGGCATCATGGCATGCCCTTACTCGCTTTCTGAAGACAATATTGAGCTCCAATTTGCCACAAACCATTTGGGTACATATGCTTCAGATCAATACCAAGAATACATTGTTGGGTTTCTCGATGTCTCTGAAACTACTGTTGGCATTTTGCGCAGGCCATTTCCTACTGACTAACTTGTTGCTAGAGACTATGAAAAGGACGGCTCATGCAAGCAATAGAGAGGGGAGAATCGTCATCCTAGGATCACTTGCTCATATCTTCACGTACAAGGGAGGAATTCGATTTGAAAGACTTAACGATGAATCTGGGTAGCTAATGCTCTATGCTTTGATTCAGACTCGGGCCACTACTATCGCTCTTTTATCACGTTGTCCCTCTTATGCTTTTGCAGATACTTTGGGATGTCAGCTTATGGACAGTCGAAGCTTGCAAACATACTGCACGCGAAGGAGCTAGCTAGGCGTCTCCAGGTACAGAATCATAAACTACAAGTTTCCCTTCATTATTTGTTGCAGATAATGTGAAATTCTTAAAAACACTTTCGATTTGTTAATGTAGGAAGATGGCGTGAATATCACTGTTAATTCACTTCACCCTGGATCTATTGTTACCAACCTTTTGCGGCATCACAGTGTAGTGAATGGTAATTTCTTAACAAAGTTTATGTACTAATTTCTGCTGAACCTTATCGAAAGTCAAATTTTTTTCGCAGGGCTTGCTAACTTGTTTGTTAAATTTGCACTCAAGAATGCTGAACAGGTCCATCATTCTTCCAGTAGCTAAAACCTGTTTGTTGAACCAATAGAACCCTTATCTTTAACTCCTTCAATTTTTTGCAGGGAGCTGCTACAAGCTGTTATTTGGCGCTGCACCCTCAAGTTAAAGGTGTCACTGGTAAACACTTCATGGACTGTAATTTAGCCGAACCGAACTCCCTAGGGAAAGACATGAAACTGGCTAAGAAGCTTTGGGAATTTAGCTTGAGCTTGATCCATCAGGCAAGAACATGAATAATATATCAGAGCAACTCTCTATACATGACTTTTCTTCTTTCAACCGAGGCAGATGTACTTCTTCCAACCAGATATGGTTACAGTTACATATTGAAAGAGTACACCATGTTCAGACAGGAGCTTTTCTAGACTCCTGTATTCTTCAAGAGTGTATGATAAGATTTACAGTTGTTTACAGCGCCCAAACGTATAAAAGCTGAGCTGCTGCTAACATGTCAGGTCTCAATAAGCAATTTCTCATCTGTCAGTTGTTCGAATTTCCACGTCGGTTGTTATGGGTTGAAAGTAATTAGTGGATTCTTCTGCAAAATGGCTGTTCCAAAAATCCTTGCCCCCAGCTCTTGGTAACCTCAGAAATTTTCTAGCCTCAAAGAAGCACAAAACCTCTGCAAATTGCTACTCAGGCCTATGATGTTGCATTGTGAAGCCAGGATTCAGATCAAGGGATGGTTTTAACCGAACACTATCCCTTAGTAGCTGCTGGGACACGCGATCAGCCAACACAGGCTGTGAAGTTGGAAGAACTTCACCAAGGTCCTGGTGTTGACCGAATCGTCCAAAATGGCGGGTCCCAAGACCACCATTATTATCTACTGAAGTCATATCCCGAAACATGTGTGAGGTTTGCGACAAACCTCTGAACTTCTCAGGCTGGTTGTTGGTTGGTTCCTGATAGGGACTACTACTGCTACTTCCGGTGTAGAAGCCAGTTTGAGACCTTGGGGTTTCATGGATGTAAGATGCCGGTTGCCATGAGTGATGATGAAATGGGATGGCGCCACTAGTAAGGGGCGTGGATGAACCTGAGGCAGTGTGAGGGCTAGATATAGGAGATGGAGATATCCTTCCACTTGCATGTTGTTGTTGTGGTGATCTTGGATACAGAAGAGGGCTACCAATAGGGGAAACTGGACATGATAAGTTGTTCCTCAGCGCATGGAAGTCACTAGAAAATGAGAAACAGTATTGGATTGTTATGAAAACTGTTTGAAACCCAAAGCAAATTTATCATCTGATGAAACAAAAACAAACTAGTTCGAGTTTCATTTTAGCTACTGGACCATAGGAGAGAGCATATGCAAGGACAAATGAAGAAAAACTTCAAACATCACTCATTGGTTGTAGGTAATTTCACGTCACGTCAAAGTTTCACAAATTCAAAAGTTCGAGAAGAAAACACATATGAATGTTGTTCTGTTAAGAATGTTGTTCAACAATTCTTGAGACTCAACCCACAAACAAGAATAACTGCATGGAAAGGCTGGAAAGAGGAGAACCTGAATCCTGAACCAGTTCTTGAGACTCTAGATTGATGAATAGGGATTGCTTCCGTGTCAAAGCTTCTCGCATGTCCAGTGCCCTAATTGAAGATTGCATCCCAGTAATCAGTTAAAGACAAACAAGAGCCACAAGAGAATCGTAGCAACCTTGTTAGGTAAAATAAAAACCAGGGTAAGATCATGAGCATAATGGGAACACAGGAAAAACAAAGTACAATAGCATTTCCATGTTAAGTCATTTTTACCCACGAGGAAAGCAATAACAAACACAATATATAATGAGGCATAGACAGCACAGGGACCAGGCAAAATATCAGAAGTACCGTTAATCTTCCAGTCGCAGTTGGTTCTGAGGGCTCAGCATTCGTAATTAGCCTCTCTGGAGGTGTGACATTCTTCACAAACGGGTGCTCTAAGAGTTGAGAAGCAGTTGCGCGGTGCAATGGATTCCGTTGTAGACATTGCCTAATGAAGTTCTTTCCATCTTCTGATAGATGATCAGGAATTGCTGGAAGCTCCCTACTGTTTCCAATCTTAAACATAGCAGCAACCTTCCAATAAGCAAAAAAAAAAAAAAAAAAGGTAAGAAAATGTCAAACTCAGTTAAATTTGCTTTCCACTTCTGAAAGCATCTGGAATAACTACTAGCAATTCTGGCTCAGGTTTTACTAACCCCTTCATACTGACTCCAAGGAGGTTTTCCAGTTGCCATCTCCAAAACAGTGCACCCCAGGCTCCATATGTCAACGGCCAGATTAGAACCGTTTGAATTCTTAATCACCTGAAACAACTAGAGAAATTTTGGGTACAAATTATCAACTGAAGCATTAACAAACACAGAGCGTGCACAATAAGTTGACGTTAATAAGATACTAACCTCAGGTGCCATCCAGTAAGGACTTCCTTTGAACGATAATGGACATGATTGGCCACTAATCTGCAGAATAGATCAACCAAGTAAAAAACCTACGTAAGGAAAGATAACATCATCTTTTAATTTCCAAGAACGAGCTATAGGTGTGTTTGGTTTGCTGTATTTGTAAATGAATGTAATTCGTCTCAATGCTATGCTATTCAATTTTCACTCTATTACTTGAGGTGCATTCGTAAAAACATTGGTTAATTCAGTGCATTTGTACGGAAAATTGTACAACCAAAGTGAAACCCACTTTTCTAAAAATGCATTTTCAAAAACTCCATGCTCCCATGTATTTGAGATAGCCTCATTTTGATGAATTCAAGCTCTCTATTTGCTTTTTTATTGCTAGTTTCACTTTCTGTATTCAAGCTGGTATTTAAATAAGTAGATTACATATGAAATTCCATATACACTCAAATACATGAAAACTTTCCACACAAAGCGATGTATTTGTTCAATTGCATGGAATTATAAATTCAATTCTTGAAATACATCCAACCAAACGACTTGCCCAGCAGGATCAGCAATATCTATCAGTTGGCATGTGTTGTCTAATTGGCTTAAAGTTGAACTAAATTGATTGAAATTACTATTTATCTCTTACATGCTTTGCCATCCCAAAATCTGCCACTTTGACCCGCCCATTTGGATCTACCAGTATGTTTGCCCCCTTTATGTCTCTACAACAAACATGAAAACATTCATGAGTTGGCAAAATCTGCTCCAAGGAGTTGTAAGTTCAGACTATTATGAATCAGACTACTAACAAAGGATACGCACCTGTGTACAGTGTTTTTACCATGCAAATAAGCAAGCCCAGACAAAATTTGCTGAGTGTAAGTACGGATGGCTATTTCACCAAATGCACCATAATCTTGAAGCAGTTTATAAATGGAGCCACCAGAAACATACTCCAGGTAAATATAAAGCTTGTTATCCACCTGCTCAATGTTTATAAAGGAAACAAGTTCAGTTACCGGTCAATCCTCGAATTCCATATCCTATTTTGGAAAATCCTTCCCAAAGAAAGATTTATGATTTGCCAGTCTAAAGAACAAAATACCGTTTCAGATCCGTAATACTGCACTATATTAGGATGCCTTAAGCGACTCAGCATTGCAATTTCCTGCCAGATGGATAAAATTGGGTATAATGTTTAAGTGAGACAGAGAGGGAGAGAGAATCACAGACAATCGAAAGAAAGAAAAGGAACCAGCCCCTACTTGTCCCAGCTGCTGTGCACTCTCTCTTGATTTTGCATCATCTGAAAACAGAGTTACTTCCTTCATTGCACACATCTCACCACTTTCACTAATCAAGTAAACATAATATAATCTACCATAAGTGAAATGTTGAAGAAACATCTATGAGAAATAAAACCACCACATTCATGAGGTTACAGCTTGAACTGAGGCCATAGTCATACAGACCTGTTAAATCCAAGAAACACATCCCCAAACGTGCCTCGCCCTAATGGACGGCCCTTCTTCCAGCGTGAACCAGGGCTTGTAGGGTTTTCTGTCCTATTAGGACTTCGTGGTAGTGAAGGAGAGGTTGCGGCAGAATAAGCAGGTGAAAAAGGACAAGTATTAGAGATTGTTATTGGTGGAACAGGTAACCGGTGGCTCTGTTGCTTGGTGTCCTCATGCCTTCCCTTAGGCGACTCTACCAAACCCCCACCAGCTCGTGGATGTTGAGGTGTCACAGCCCCACTCTGTATCCTGGAGCTCGGCCCAGGACTTGTCATTCGAGGACTCGGTATTGGAGAGCACTCAGGGCTACATCTACTGTTTGGCCAGAATAGCTGCCCTGACATATCTCCACCTATTGAGTTATGCCCAGAATTATAACCGGAACCTGGACTTGAGCAATGCCCAGATCCTAGTAAACCTACTACATCTGCATAATTCTTCCCTTGTAGTAATAAACCAGTATTTACTACAACTTGCTCTGTTCCAAATAACCTGATTGGGCTCCTGCAAGGACTCGACATTGAGCTGTCAGGGGCACTGGAAAGTATGCCTCTGTTAGGTATCTGTAAATTTTGTACAAGAGAGCTTAAATGCGCCCTTCTAGGCGATACAGATGGTTTCTGATTGTTATTCAGTGAAAAGTCAGCATGCTTCAACATCTCGCCTGAGTTCTTTCGACTAAGAAGCGGAGACCGATCCTTCTGCATCATGCTTTTGGCACCATCCATAGACAAGCCAAGTCAGAGAGGATAAACCGAAACTACAAAAAAAAAAAAAAAAAAAAAAAAACATTAAAGAAGAACTGTAGTTCTCACCTAGAAGGGCTATTTGCAGCAGTTCTGTTCCCATTTTCATAGTCTGATGTCAAGGGACTAAGGAGACGTGAATCTGACTGATCTTCACTATCACTTGAACTATCACTAGATATGGAAGCAGTGCCTATATCCACTTCAACATTTACCGGGTCCAACCTATTAGAAACATTCCCAGGCCTTGGAAGAGGTAATACCTGCAAATGCTGGGATCCTGCATCTGAACCTGGATTTGGGGAACTACTCACTCCAGAATGAGAGCGGGCAACGGTTGTACGTCTCGCACCAGGAAGTGGAAGTGGTTGAGCTGGTCTTTCGGCAAAACTTTGGCACCGTGAGACTTGAGTGGAAGGTGATGGAGATCTTGATGGGACTCGGGAAAGAGATCCTCTCTCTGAGAGAACATCTCGAGCCCGTCTCCAATACCCAGCAGTTCTACCACCACTGCTCTTATCCTCGGGTGCATTTCTGAGTTTCCTGGGTATTGCATCAATGATACCTTCCTTGTTTGTTTTCTTCTTTTCATCTTTTGATGACGACTTGCTCCACCAAGGCATGTTTGTAAAATGAGACAGATATGGCAGCTCCCACCTTCAACTGAACACACACTCCTCCATTATAGATACCCCCTCGCTCCCATGCCAACTTACGGACCACAGACGAAAGACGTAGATATTGAACTTTTGTTGTTTTGATCTTTTCTGCAAGGTTCCACAGGACAATCATGAATGGTTCCACAGAAATGTCGAGACAAAAAATTTCGAAGTGTTGAATCGGATTCTATAATGAGAAAAGGGAGATTTAAGGAAATCATCACATCAATGACAAACTGAACTCCATCAAAAGTTGAAAAATAAATTATCCAGCTACTAAAGCAATCAAACGAAACATTGTTTTGTACATACTACTACAAAAATTGGTCCCCAGACCCTTGGCTTGGCAAATGGTGACCTAGGTTAGAACCATCAATGGACTAGACTGCTGAATTTTGCACTAGGCATTATGATATCACACAATAAATATGCCAGATATAGTTCCAGCAGACGCTCCTAATACTTTTCCTACCTACTAATGATGTAGTTCCATAGTCAATTCCTACTTGTTCAAATAGGTTTAGATCAACATGCATCAACTTTCTATTTATAGTGACTCCAAAGAGTCTTAATGACGACAAAAGTCTTAGCTTGAGCCTTGAGCTTGACCAGTCATCGCTTCACTAATCTGAACAACGCTAGCAACAATCCCAAATTTTCTTTTCCTTTCCACTACAAGCACCCACAACTCTCATTCCAAGTCAAACTGCACAGTCAATGGAAAAATCCACTGCAACCATTAATTCAACCTTTCCCCTCCACTTCCAGTAGCTACTCCACTCCACACTAGCTGATCGAATTGTAGATCCAATTCTCCAAACACACACAATTTCCACAGCCAAAACCCATAAACACAATCCACAAGACAAAAAAAAAAATAATAATAAACCCATAAACACAAATTCCATCATCAACAGATCTACGAACCAAACGAAAATTACGGCAGAAGATCGCAAAGGAAATGGAAATCAAGAAAGGAATCAAAACCAGCCCGAATAACGAACAGAAAGGTCATAAATTTCAGAACCCATCTGCTTGATTCACTTGAAATGAGACAAACAAACACTCGAAACACTAAAATTCACCCAAAGTTACATACTTTCAAGCGAAGCTCCGACAATCCGAAGCTGAGACAGAAGCAAAGGCGGAAAAGCTATGAGCGGGATAGCTTGCCCGGCTCAGTTGACACGCGCAGCAAGAAGTGTCAGCTTCTCCGCGGACGAGGCAGCGAAGATGATACAGAGAAGCTGGAAAGTCACAGAGAACAAACGCAAAGGAAGAAGAGAACCCACCCAAAAACAAAACCAAAAAAAAAACACTAGGGAAAAAGAAGAAAAATAGAAAAGCAGAGAGGGAGAGGCGTAAAATTGTAATAATTAATAATAAAAAATACCGATTAGTAATAATTATTTATTGGCGAGACGCTGAAAGGACTTCTTTTCTTGCTGCATGATTGAAGTGAAGTAAGCATGGTGACGTGGAATCCTGGCCGTTGGTTTGAAAGACGGTTGACTTTGTGATGCTAGATTGGTGCTTTGGGGTCAACGACTCAGGCGAGGGAGCAGTTGAGTTGCGGTGAGATTAGTTGCAGCCGATCCTGATTTATAAATGAGTTTTATTTATTAACAGACTTGTTTAGTACTAAATGAATCGAGAATTCATTTTATTGTAAAATGAATTACCGTGTAAAATTCATTGTCAAATAAATTCATATGTTTAGTATGTCATATGTTTAAGTAATTTAGTTAATAAAAGAGGATAATCAGGCAAAGGCTAGCGTACACTTGGTGTATGCTATACATATGTGTTCACACCTAACAATTAATTATTAAATATAATTATATTAATTATTAATAACAATTATAAGTACAACCATACCCATTAATTAATTTTTGTTTACGGTTTAATACCACAATGTTTAAGCTAGGGGGATTTGCTCAGCCCACGTTCATAATAAAACTTTAACACTGCATCACCATGGAATCAAATACAACCAATCCCCAGTCCATTTCATGCAATTGTTCACCATTTTTAATCACAACTCATTCTTAATTGCATCATCAACCCCACAAAATGATAGCACGCTCCCCCACCTCTTAGAAATACCTGCGTCACCTCTACCATCCTCATCGGCAACAACGACAACGTTGAGAGCTATAGGGCTGCGCTCCGCAGCGATTTCGTCGTCGAGAAGATTGAAACATTATACAAGACTAAGAAGACTAATCCGTTTATTGAAAGACCGTGACACCAACCTTCGGGTCTTTCGTTTTCAAGGTTTCCTTCCATTGCGTTGCCATAGGGAAGAGCGACATTAGAGGATCCGATCTGCCGATGCTAAATAAAGAAAGTAGGAAGGTTTGTGGGACTATAGTGTATACAAAATAAAGTAGTGGATCTTATTTTAATTACTATGGTTAGTAATAATTAATTTAATTATAATAAGTATTAATTAATGAATGTGAACGTAGGTGTATAGTGTACACCTGATGTATGCTAGCCTGAACCGGATAATCATGTCTTTCTATTATAATTAGTAAATACTTGTGGAATTCATTTGGAAATTTCATCTCAATTCCTCAGAATTGCTTTAACTAGTTCCAATTCCGTAGAATTCAAAATTTAGAATTGAAAATGAATTCTTTTTAATACCAAACACAAAAATATTTCATTTCAAAATGAATTCCTCAAAATTTATGGAATTCATTTATACCAAACGGTATGTAACTCGCTTTCTCTTTTGTCGTTTTAACGGTCGTTGCTCGATATTCCATTGCCATGGTTTACGCAATGCAATATGCTTTTGATTTGGTTTTTCTCATTTTTCTTTTTTCAAAAACATAAATTTGATTATTATTTTTTTCTTAATGTAACACTCAACGTTTTCGAATAAGGTATTGTCCACTTCAGACTTACTTGCACAGTTTTGCTATTGGGCGCATCATGATGACTTTTTAGGAGGTCGCTCGTATTTTCACTACTCTACAATTAGCACGTTTAACTTTATTATTCTTACAATAACTCATTCATTTCACCCCAAAATGTGTCATGTCGGTTTAAGTTGGATATTTCTTATGAATCATAGATATCTCTCGTGCTTTGTTGATATGTGATTTGCCTAACAACTGCTTTGGGCCTACTCCCGCACCATCGCCCCAAGAGGATCGTGGAAAGGCTCTGATACCACTTGTAACATAACATCCACAATTTTTTGTCAATATAGTCTGCTTTGGTCTTACCCACACGATTTTGCTTTTAATCACATCAAGATACTTCCCAGAATGTCACCAATCATTGCATTGTGTGAAGCACGTCTAATTTCAAAGCTCTTACAAGAACCATCCATTTCACCTCAAACTCTAGTTTGCTAGTTAAAGTTACATGTTTCTTATTAATTATAGGGCTAATACCACTAGGAAACCCGAACTATTAACTTTGTGTCATTTGTTTCCTAAAGTATTCGATATGACATTTGTGCCCTAACGTATGATAGTTGTGTGTCATTTACGTCCTGACAATTTCGTTGACCATTATAGATAACGGTTGACCAAACGGTCAACCATAAAATGTTGATTGTTGATTACATGGCACATATGTGGCAGCCACGTATGCGCCACACGTCAGCTGCCACATCAGGTTGTTATTTTCAAATTAAAATTAACCATTAAAATACAAAATAAAAAATAAACAATTGAAATAAACAATTAAAATTATTTTCAGCCACATATCCTCATCTCTTCATCCCGTCAATTTGCCCCTTCCCTTTTCCGCTTTCTTGTTTCGTTTTCCTCCCAAATCTAGCCTGATTTCGAACTGAACCCGTTCTTCTTCTTCCCCTTTGATGAACTGAACCCCCCAACCCAATCGGCGCCACCGTTGGACAGGACGCCCTGTGAAGAAGCCGACGGATGCAGAGGAGGAAGAAAAGCCTCGCCCTCTGCTCGCCGTCTCTTTGGAATCCGTCCACCCAGAAAAGTCCACCCAGAATCCACCTGCTCATTTGTCCTCCCGCCGGCACCTCCCCCGACCATCCTCTAGCTCAAACCCCAGAAACCACAAAGACGACGAAGCACGCCACTCCCCGTCCCCTCGTTAACCAGAAAAGAACTCGCATCAAACCTCCGACGTCAAATGTAGGTTTCAGGAACAGCACCGGCTCCTTCGAACGAGGTGCCGATTAGGTGGCCGAAGGGAGAGCGAGTAAATTTGAGCTCAAGGGAAAGGAATTTCTTTAAAATTTTAGAGCGAAAATCACCGCTCTCCCACCTACCTTGCTCTGCTTCACCGGAGCTAAAGCGCCAAATCCAGATTCCCAAAAACTAGTGGAGCTTTAGCGAATCGTAGAGGGGAATCGGACGGAGCTGGGGAGTGGCGGCGCGGATCTACTTGGGGGTAGAAAGGCGGCGCGGATCTAGCCGGGGTGTGCGTCTGCCAAAAATTTCCACCGCCGGCGGAGAAGCTGTCGATTTCCATTAATCGTGTCCCAAAAGATTCCCAAATCAATTTGTTTACTGTTTTTGTTTTTTTTTTTGTTTTTTGTTTTTTTTTCTTTTTTCGTATATTAAAATAATTATAAAATAATAATAAAAGTTCCACATCAGATGTCACATAAGCGCTGACTAGCTAGACTTTTTGTTAAAAACTAACAGTCAACGCTAGTCAACTCTAACGGAAAAATAGTTTAGGACACAAATGTCATATCGAATACTTTAGAACACAAATGACACAAAATTAATAGTTCGGGTTTCCTAGTGGTATTAGTCTAAATTATAGATCTATTCATACTTTGTCGATTTGAGATTTCTGTAGAATTACAATTTGCGTGATTTTTCTTATGTTTTCCTCATATGCTTATTGTTTCTTACACAACCTTATATTCTCTTGTTCTTTTAATTGTTTAAATTGGCGAATTGGTTGTCCAATCCTCTTAGACCATCCACAATGTGGTAGGCTGAAGTGGAGAAATTTCTCCACAATGGGGTAGGGAAAAATGGAGAAAGGGGGAAAGAAGGAAAAGGATGGTGGATAAATCCACTTTTCTTTTGTTTTCTAAAATTGGGGAGAAGTGTTTGTTTGGGTGTGTTTTATTGTAATTTCATATTGATGACATCATATTTAATTAGTAATGAAAATAATTATTTCCAAATTAAAAAAATTATATCGAAATATTTGTATTATTAATTATCACTACCCATGTAAAACAAATTATCATCTATACATAATATTATAGCAATTCAAAAGTATTTTGTTGCCACATAAGAATTTGGAGAAATTACAAGGTGCCATGTTGGACATTTTTTTTACAAACAAAAAAGTTATTTAATGATCAATTAATGTAGAGCTATCTATCTTTTTTTAATATTTTCTTTTTATTTTAATGATCATTTATGTAGCTATCTCTATCTTCTTTTAATGTTTTCTTATTTATTCAATAATTATATTTTTCAATATATATGTGTAGCAGCAGTATACTTATGTTTGGAGAGTGACATATATTGTAATGCTTCAAAAAATATATTTGATTAAATCTGATCAATTAATTTTTCTTTTTCTTTTTATTAGAACTTAATATATGTTATATTTTGATAAAAAATAAATTAAACACACAAATAAGTAATAGAATTTTTTAAAAACAAAATATAATGAAGGATGTTTAGATAATCAACATTTAATAATCAATTGAATTTGAAAAACCAACTATATAATTTTATGTTTTGGTTATCAAACACTATCTTTTTCTAATGTTTGTATCTATCAAAGAAAACAAGTATTAAATAGCAAAATGCTTCAAAGTTGTTTTTTTCATTTTGATAGAAACTTGACGAAGCCATAATATAGTACATGATTGTACAAATGAAGACGATAAAGAAAGATAACTTTTCTTCTCTATTATAATGCATGCTTCTATAACTTATTTTCTCTTACATTTGTTCATACTTCCCCTTATTTTTCTTAACAGTTTACATATTTCAGTCAAACAAAGGTGTTAATTACACTTAAAAATACATTAAACTCTTTATATTTATATATGTATATTATGACATACCTTTGAGTAAGAAAATGATATCTAGACCTTGAATTGACTGGAGTTGCATATGGTATTATTCTCAAACCCTTAAAGATTAAAATCTAGGTCTTAAATTTATAAATCTCATACCTAAGATCAATTTAATTATAAACAAAAAACAATGGTCATGATTCGTTAAAATCTATGCAACAAATTACATGCACAATCTTAGGGGTTAAGCTCTATGATTTAGATAACTAAGACCTAGGGTTCACTCATCAAGGGTTAAGATATAGTATCATGCCCAC